TAGACTTACAGACTTCACTCCTTCACTCATTTCCATTTACTTACAGTAGTATTTTTGCCCTATAGCTTTCAGTGAAATTGTTTCACATTTGTTTTGTCACATTCTCTTACTGATCTGTTAACTTTATATATTTTTTATGTACAGTTTTTGTTTCTTCTATAATACCATGTAATTGAACTCATAATGAATATAGCCACTATAAACTGGCTTTTTAAATTTAGTAGTATGCATTTAAAATTCATTCCTCGTTAGCTGGGTGTAGTGGCACATGCTTGTATGTAATAGCACTTTGGGAAGCTGAAGCAGGAGGATCAAAAAGTTTGAGTCCATTCTGGACTACTTAGCAAGATCTTGTGCCCATGTGTGATGTATGTACTCTTTCTCTTCTTACACAGCCACCATTATTCAATCATGTGGCTCTACCTTCATGACTTTATAAGCTTCATCACCTCCCAGAGGCCTATGTACAACACTCTAGTTGGATCAAGTTTTCAGCCTTTTAATACTTTACATTGGGAACTAAATTTTAACACATGGACCCTGCATGCCATATCCTAGTCAGCAATGTTGTATAACTCATGTTAGGTCTTTTGGCAATGTGTTAAACAGGAATGGTGAGAGAACACATCCTTGTTTATTACTCGTACATGTTAGGGAGAATGTATATAGTTTCTCATTATTAAATATGATGCTAGTTACAGGTTATTTTGTAGATGTTGTTTATGAAGTAGAGGAAATTTGCTGAGAGTTTTTAGGGGTTTTTTCCAAGGCAGGGGTAGCATGGCAGAGAGGCATTGCAGAGGAGAAACAGTTTGTGGCAGGCAGGAGGCAGCAAAGTAGTAAGCACCAAGTGTCAAGCCACAGGCAGCAACAGCAGCTTTCTTTTTGGCTCTTATATTCTATTCAGGCCAATAGGGTACCCTTAATCCTAAAGTACACACACCATGAATCCCAGCATTATACACTCAAGGTCCACCCACCTCTGCAAAGTTCCACATGGCTGGACATGGTGGAACCTCCTGTAATCCCAGCACTTAGGAGGCTGAGACAGAAGGATTGCCATGAGTTTGAAGCTAGCTTGGGCTACATATTAGTTTTAAAGCAGACTTGAACTGTGTAGGGAAACCTTCTCTCAAACACAAATGGCTACATGTGACTGCATGAGGCTTTGGGGAGACATCTAGATACAAACCATACACATTTTTAATTATATCTTCCTATTCATTGATATTTTCTTTTGTGCTTTGTGATCTATCTGCCTTTCTGTGAGATAAAATTTCTATTTGAAGTATCAGTTCATGAAATCTCAGTCTTTTAAAAACATCTTCAATTTGTCTCAGTAGTGTCATATCTTTAAATCTGTGGGCATCCTTCTAGTTGCTATTTTGTAGTCTTTCCCAATTCCCTTGTGTCTGTCATTTGCACTTTGCCTACTGAGTGGTTTTCTTTCTGTTGAGGTCCATATTTTCCCACTTTACATGGCTAGTAATTTTAATTGAATGATGGGCATGGTTATGATTATGATGATAGTAGATTTTTGTTGTCCTTATGAAGTTTATTGAGAATTAACTTTATTTTTGAGACTTGCTTTAAAGCTTTATTTTGATAGATTTAAAGTAGTCTTTTCCTACCTAATGTAGTCCTATTACCAGTTTACCAGTATGTTACCTTTTGGTAGATATTTGTAGAATGCGCTGAGTATTCCACAAGGTCTCTTTCTCTTTAAATTGAGGAATCTCAGATGTCTTCCAGTTCCAAGTTATGGAAAATTTTCAGCTTATTATCCCTTAGCAGTTTTCTTTGTGTGCTGTCGTAAAGTTTAATGCTATTCAAGTGCAGTTTAATCAATGGACTACCACTCTAAGCTTTTGTATCTTTTCCTTATTGTAGTTCATTTTTCTTTTGTGTTCTACTCTGAATATTTCACCAACCTCATTTTACAAATTTCATCTCTCTTCTTAAATTCAGTGAAACAATTTTGTTCTTCCTGTGCCAATATTTTAAAAATATGTCCATCTTAAAATGTTGAGATTATCAGTGTATCTTTTTTTCCTTAGGAATCAGCAGTTCTTGCCTTCCATTGTCTACTACCTGGAAAAAGTTGTTTCATATTTTTCCTGGTTTTCTAGTTGTGTATAATAGAAGGCCAAGTTTAGTGTTAGTTATTTGATCATGGCAAAAATGGATGATTGCAGTCGCATTTTTATTAAATTAATTAGACCACTAATAAGACTGCCTGTTAAGTAATTTTTCTCTCAGGTTATTTAAAATATTTCCTGTCAAAAGCATGTTTACATAAATTCTAGAAATAGAAAAATCCATAAACATCTGTTCCATTTTCATGTTTAATTCATCATCTATGGAATGAGTGTTACATGTTGAAGGTAAAAGCAAGGGGGATAGCTCAGCGGTATAAGCACCTGCCTAGCAGGCGCAAGGTTCTGGGTTCAATCCATGATAGAAAAATTAAGTTAAATATAATGAAATGTATTAAAATATAATAAAATATACTAATATTTTAAGTTATTTATAGTCTTAAGTATGAATTAAATTGTATTTTTATTGGATAATGAACTATAGCAGTGGTGGTGAACCTTTTAGAGTTTTCAGTTATACAAACAGTCCACCGTGGCACCCGTATAGGTTTGCTATCATTTAACTATAGGAATCACTAACAGTACCCATTTTTTCAATTTTATATCCCCTAATTAGCTATTGAGTGCTGCTTCTCAGAGTGGATCATTGAGATTGAATAATACAGAGCTACATTCAGTGGCACCAGTTATAAAATTCAGATCTATATGCTATTATAATCACCCAAGATAAAGACCAAAAAATAGCAGTTATCATGACCTCTTCAAATCTTAATTTGTTTTCTCTGTAAAGTCTTGAATGATCTCATAAATACCATTTGTATGTTTATTAACTATCAGTTGCTACTTATAAAGAATTGATTATACTCTCCCAAACTACTATTTTGTGGCCACATCATTATAGCACAAAACAAAGAACTTTGAGAAATAGCAGTAATTCTTGTTTGCTGCAAAATATCCCACAAATATTTTAATGAAAATTGCTTGTCATGTGAGAATATAATAAACAATTAATGTTCAGTGCTATGATTTGGATAAGTGTCTCCAAGGCCCACATGCTCAAAGCTTGGTCCCCAGCCTGTGGCAATACTGGGAGACAGTCGAATCTTTAGGAGGTGGGACCTAGTTGAAATAATTTAGGTCATTGGGGATGTTCCATTGAAGGAATGGGATGTTAGAATATCTCTCTCTCTCTCTCTCTCTCTCTCTCTCTCTCTCTCTCTCTCTTTCTTCTTCTCTCTTCTCTCTTCTCTCCTTCCTTTCTGTCATGATGTGACTATCTCCTCTCCCAGGTACTCTGACCATGATAAAATGCTGCCATAGGGCCAGCAGCAACACCAAGTGACCATGGGCTGAAGCTTCTTAAAGTTCACCAGAACCAACCTTTTCTTATTTTAAGTTATTTGAGATATTTGTCGTAACAATAGAATCTGTCTAACACGCTGTAACAATGGGATCATTTTGAAAATAGGGCATAGGACCTTGTGGAAGTTGATACAGTCATTGGCATTTTTCTATCATTTTTTGAATATATAAGTAAAGTACCATATGTGAGAAGGAAAGACCAAATAAATCCATAGAATTCGTTTTGAGTCCTTGGTGTTAAGGTCATGCTTAATAAAGAATTCAATTATTTTACCAGAGGCCTTAGGAATGTTCTTACTTTTCAACAGAGATCATAATATTTCTCTTACATTGCATATTGGAATGATTGTATAATTTATAAATGACACGACTATGTCCACAGCCCTGACGTCTCACTATAAATAAATAGGTGAATAATTATGAGTCAGATCTTCTCTGTGTGGATATAGTCTATACCCCTGAGGGATAATTCCTTGAGGTGCAAGTTAAAAGTATCAGTACAGGGGCCAGGGAAATGGCTCAGAATAAGCACTTCTCTGGCAAGCGCAAAGGCCTGAGTTCAATTCCCTGTTCTGCCCCCTCTCCCCCCAAAAAAGTATCAGTACATATTTTTCACGTTATGTTCAGATTTATTTTTCTGTATTTTATGGTACATATTAGTTGAGCATTCTTAATCTGAAGTATTCCAAAAGTATTTTAGCATTTCAGATTAGGGATGCTCAGGCGGTAAAGTAAGTCTATGCAAAGATTGCAAAATCTGAAAAAATTTCAAGTCTGAAATATTTCTGATCCTAAGTAAATAAATTGCAGCAACATCCTGAAGCTTTAGTATCAGTGGTAAAAAATGGAGCTTCATTTTTCAGAAAGAAACAAGGGTAATAGTCTCAAAAGTTAGACTAACCATGTAAAATTTTGTAAATAAAACCCTTGATAAAAACATGCATATGTTTTCTGAGGGTGAAACGAGTGGCAGAGGTATATG